GTGTACAACGGATAGACTGTATACAGAAATATTTTTTATAAATGGAAACAATCCCTCATAACACAAAATCAATGCAAAGCAACATTTCCCAACAATTTATGTTGAAAAGTAAAGATAAGGCAGGGAAAAGGCATGCAAGCAGAATAAACAGTGCTGGTTTCATTTGACTGGGAGCTGCTGTAGAGCAGACCAGCCCTGTAGTGCTCTCGTACACAAACAAATGATTATAGCTGGCCCTGAGCAAAGCTCTTTAGCACGCTCCTAGCAAGGTACTGATAAAACTATAAAAATAAGCAGCCAAGAACAGAAAAGCAAGTTGTTAGGGAAAGGCCATAGGACACCTGGGCACTTCAGTAATGGGCTCTGCAACCACCAGCCAGCAACGCAGGGCGGCGTGAGCTGCACCGCTCACTTGGACTGGAGAGGCTGAGAATCAATTTGTGCATCAAAAGTTAATTCGGGTTTATCCCTGCAAAACTGCAGATGTTTCTGATGGAGCAAGTGCAAGTACAGAGCCCACTTGTATCTGACTTAATGCTGGAGTTAAGCATTAACATTCTGTCCAATTAGACAGAAACATTTGGCTGCCTCCCCCCCTTGAGACACAGTTATGTTTCATTATGTTGTATCTACAGGATGGGCCTGTAGGTACTGATCTCCTTTCTGATAAAATCGGGTTACCTATTTATTCTTGTTTCCCCAGACTACACCCTTTCCTCTACTTATTGGTGTATCCCAATGGGAGGCATCCGTGGGCATGTTCATCCTCCTGTAGAGAAAGATTAACCCTACCCTCTCTTTGAGAACTCTCTAAAAGTGATCAGAAAACAGAAAACATGGCCACAAGACAAGGTATCATCTTCATCCTCCTTTTCCGCTTATGTCTTGTTCCTCGAGAAACTCCACAGTTCCTGTTGGTCACGGGTTCTGCTAAATCCAGCTCCTTTTCCTACTGTTATCAGGTCACACAAACTCCCAAGGAGACCTCTTGGCCATTGCTGGTTTTGGTTTTTTTCCTGTGCTGCACACTCTGAGCATTCCTCTGTGTTTGACTTAGGAACAGCTGGCAGTGGGTATACGCTTGCCATTGGGAGCACTCAAATCAGTAGCCCTGGGCTGGCATCTGTGGTGTGCTGCACCTCGCACTCGGTTGGAACCATAGCTTTTTCACAGGCAAACACTGCTGACTGTTTTATTTTTCTGTAGTAGCCTCAGAGAGTTTGTGCAGAGTCACGTGCTGCCTCGATGAGGCTCCTGAATGATGCCCACCTTGTTACGTGGTGCCATCAGGGTTGTCAGTTAGATTGTGGTTGGATTCAATGATCTTTAAGGTCTTTTCCAACCTGAGCTATGATTCCACGATCAGCAGAGAGAACCAGCTCTGAGTGGGCCCTGGCAAACTGTAGCTGCAGGATGACTCCGGTAGGAAAGGACAGAGAGGAGATTTAGGACACCACTATGGTACAGATGTGCAGATAGGTTCAACATTTTGGTGTCTGGCTCACCTTACACATGATGCTCTGAACAACATCCTGGTAACAACCAAGAAATGTTCTGTCTGATGGCTTTTTTCCCAAGCCTGAGCACTGCTAGCATGTGCTCTGAAAGGAGCTGAACATGGCAAAGGCTTTGGCTAAACAGCTGATCTGTGGGAAGAACAATCACTTTTTGGCCAGACCAAGGAAATGGAGAAGTGTGAAAAAGGAGCATTCAGAGATGGGACCTTGCAGACGCACTGGTGAGCAGAAGGGCTGCAGGCAGTCTGCCTAGAGGAAGGCTTTATCCACAGGAAGCTGTGGCAGGAACGGGCAGACCAAGGATCAAGCAGGACCTCAGAAGACAACGGCTGAGAATGACCCAGCACTTGAGTGAGATTGTAAAGCTGAAAGGTTAGTCTGGGCAGAAGGGATCCGCTGCTTCTCACTTATCTCTTGTCCTTCACAGGGTGGGACACGCTTTGTAACTTCTGCTGTTAAGCAATGCAGCTGTATGCATTATGAAACTATTGCCACATTCTGCCAACAGGCACTGCTGCATTTTGTATCGGGGTGAAGGTGGAGTCACACAGACTGCTTTTAAAATGACTTGGGATTATGGAGTGCTATCAAACTGCCAGTTAGCTTTCATGGCAGTATGTGGATTTTATGTCTGACATATTGAGAGGCAGAAGGAATAGAAATGACAAAGTGTAGCCACTTCTTCATTCTGCGGCTCTGTTCTTTGTAGCTAAGAGGTTCTTGGGAGCCACAGCTTTGGTGAGGGGGAAGCTGAGTCTGAAGGATGGTCAGGAGGCTGGATGGCACTGTGACCGAAACCATAAATTTTCCTCTTCTTATATCACCCACAAGTATTTTAAATAAGATATCAATCAGTTATTGTTAAATCTCGGAGCTGGAAAGTTGTTCTGATGACAGCTGTGCATGTTAGCTGCATAAGCTGCATTAAAAAATGAAGGAAGGAAGATCTAAGGCAGTTTTTGGTCAAGAACTTGTAAGCTTCAAGGCGGTATAATGCATCCTGGTAGGAAAAGAGGGAGATTTGTTAATGCTTTAGTTTACATACAGCGTATAGCTAAGGATATAGTTAGGATTATGTGTATTAATACCTAAATAGAAAGGAGTAAACATTAACTACAATATAGAAACAAAGGAAGTAAACTTCATAAAAGGGCACTGAAACAAGTAGAACTAGAATGCTTTTAATCAGACATCATTAGAAAGAGGTGGCTGGAAGAGATCTCACAGCCCGTCCAGCCCCAACCCCGTGCTGTGGCAGGGCTGCCCCCACCAGCTCAGCTGCCCAGGCCGCATCCAACCTGGCCTTGAGCCTCCAGTGACGGGGAGCCACAGCTTCTCTGGGCAGCTGTGCCACACCTCAGCGCTCTCTGAGTCAAGAATGGTTTCCTGACATCCAACCTTCAGCTCCCCTCTTTTATCTAAAGCCATTCCCCCCTGTCCTATTGCTATCAGGTGGCTTTATAAGTTGGGCCCTCTCCTGTTTATAAGCTCCCTTCAAGTACTGGGAGGTCGCAGTGAGGCCTTCCTGCAGCCTTCCAGTCTCCAAGAGCAGACTCCTTGTAAATGAAACTGGATTTGGGAACTCCAGGTTCTAAGAATTTCTGTGCAGAACCTTGATTCTTTTAACAAGCTTTAGCTTCAGCTGACCGTGGACCTAAAAAAGACCATTAGCTGTGAGCGAGTGCTGCAGCCTCAGCTTTGTACCACACGTATTGCCACAGCTGGCGCAAAGAAGGGATTCAGTGATTACATCTGCTAACTGCAATGAATATCAGACAGAAGAGATGAGGACCTTTGGGACTGAGCACAAGTAGTGAATGCAGTGGAATGCTTGGCTGAACACGAGCCAGCAGTGTGCCCAGGTGGCCAAGAGGGCCAACAGCTTCCTGGCCTGCATTAGAAACAGTGTGGCCAGCAGCAGCAGGGAGGTGATCATCCCCCTGTACTCAGCACTGGTGTGAGTAGCAGCACAGGCCGCACCTTGAGTACTGTGTTCAGTTTTGGGCTCCTCACTACAAGAAAGACATTGAGGCCCTGGAGCGTGTCCAGAGAAGGGCAACGAAACTGGTGAGGGGTCTGGAGCACAAGTCTTATGAGGAGCAGCTGAGGGAGCTGGGATTGTTCAGTGTGGAGAAGAGGAGGCTCAGGGGAGACCTCACTGCACTCTACAACTTCCTGAAGGGAGGTTGTGGTGAAGAGGGATTTGGCCTCTTCTCCCAGGCAACAAACAGGACCCGAGGAAATGGCCTCAAGTTGTACCAGAGGAGGTTTAGGTTGGACATAAGGAAGAACTTTTCCTCTCAGAGAGTGGTCAGGCACTGCAATGGCTGCCCAGGGAGGTGGTGGAGTCGCCATCCCTGGCAGTGTTCAAGAGGTGCCTGGATGACGTGCTGCAAGATATGGTTTAGTGCTTGTGGTGGCAAGGGTAATGGGAGGATGGTTGGACTAGATGATCTTATAGGTCCTTTCCAACCTTGTGATTCTATGATTCTTATTTTTGTCACAGGCTAAATAGTTATGCTGACAATTCCTCCACTTATCAAACGTATAAAAGGTGTTTGCTGCCTTACATTCCTTGATATTGATTATTATGGTTAAAGTGGCTACTAAAGCTTTACTAAATCAAATATAATAGCATACAGAGAGTTCTCAGAGTTGGGGATTGAGCAATGAAGAGAACAGTTTGGCTTAACTAAGGCTATTTCTTGCAGTTATCTGTATGCCCTTGAGAACTTATCTGTTTCATTTACAACTCGTGCAATTGAAAAAAAAAACCTCATTACTTAATAGCTGTAACAGAAGTTTCAGCTCCCTCCGTAGTTGTTGTGCTAAGAATGTTGACTAGTGCAAAAGCATGAAGCCAATTTCTGACCAGACATCTTCCAGGCCTCAAATTCAATTTTTTCAAACATTAAATGCCCACTCAAACGTACCCATCCAGCTGTTTGAAGCGTTTTCTTGTAGAGAGATAGATAAATCTTCCCGAGAGACATCAGGTTTTCCTCATGCACTTGAAAAAACATCTGATCTCTCACTTTCACTCATTTGAAAATTACTGGCGTAAAGCAAATTAAACCAGGATGAGCTGTTGGGAAAAACCTGATATGAGCAGCAGCAAGATATGAATTTGATGCCGTGCCATAGAAAATGACAATAAACTTAAGGTGAGAAGGCAAAATGATTGCTACAGTCATTTAATGAAGAGTTTGGAAGACTTCCTAATATTAACAGCAGTGGTGAAAATATCCATTAGTTGTCATAACGTTTATGTTACTTGGACCAAACAAGATGGATCCCAAACTTGAGTGAAAGGCATCTCAAACATAAAGCGACGAATGTTATGAGTCCTTTCAAAATCTGTTTTCCTTTCTTGCAACTCTTTCTTCAAAGTAAGGAACTACATGTGTAACCTGAATGTGTGCATATTTTGAATCTAAATCCTTTGGATTTACCTTAAAAACATTAAAAAAACAAACAACCAAACAGTTAAATTCTGAATACAGTGGATTTAATTGCAGTTACACAAGTTTCAGATACCATATTTGGCTTGCTGCAAACATAGAAAACATTTATGCTCTCATGGGCTTCTCTGACTCCAGTTTCTAATTGTTATGAAGCTTGGTATGGTCATCACATGTCTTTTTTTTTTAACACTATGATTATTTGCCATATGCAAAACTACAATAAAAATAGTTTTATTCCTGCTTAGCAGTAAATACTGCATTTCAGGAGAAGTCAGAGAAGAAAAAAAAAGAGTGGAAACAAAAACAAATACTGTCCTCCATGATGGCCGATACAAGAAGATACTGGAGAGCAAAACTAGCAATACATAAAAAGTGAGCAGCTGAAAATAAAAATGTACCTTTTAGACAGTGCAGATCTTACCTCCAGAAGGCACTTCTACCAACTGGCTGTCCTGCTGTGACACCCTACACTGATCCCAAAGCGTAAGCTGGGGGACAGGTCGTAGGCTTCATGTTCAGTTTGGAGTGCCAAGTTTTTAATTTTGTAAAAGTGGCAACTGATGTCCAGTAGCAGTAGATGAGGCTTCCTAAAATCATTGCCCAACGGGGTCCCAATCCCCTAAATGGACCAATCACATTTTTTCTTGTAAATTCCTTCCCCCCATCATTAGATAAAGAGGTGACCCTAAACTTATGCGCCCCTCTAAACGTTGTCTCTTGCCATTTCAGTCCCCTGCCAAATATTTGTTATCTCTGCCTGATCGTGAGCCATTGACTTTTATAAACTGTGAAAAGCAGTGATGCAGATATACACCTGAAGTCAGCTTTTAAATGCTGGAGCAAATGTGATAGAACTCAAGTCACCCATCTGCTGCCAGTTTTTAATGGGACATGCTGCTTGATACAGAAATCCGCAATATTTTCTGATTACTAGACTGGAACTTCACTGTGATTTATGTGTTCATTCCAGCATAATTGATGGAAATGTTCCCAACGAATGCTGACAAACAGACAGATTATAACTATTTGAAAAGAATTCGGTACGTTCAAAGCCTTTATGTGGAGTACACTGCAAGAGCTGTGAAAAACAGAGTACAATATAAATCTCATCTTCCAACACATGAAATTAAACCCTTGTGTAAGTTCTCCCTTCCTTTAAAGTTCCAGTTTGAGCAGAAGTATTGAAAAGCCCACCGTTGCTGAATGTAAGTGGTTGAGAAGCACAGCACTTTGTGATCTTGCTTATATGATCAGTGAACAGAAGAGACAAGAAGTTAGACTGTGAGAAAATCAACGTGGAGTCTGAAGCCTTGAACTGGCTGATGAAGGGAATGAAAGGAATGCAGAAAGGCATCTTGTGCCTGCTCAGCCTACGGGTTACCATAATTCTTTCTCATTCAAAGGTTCCAACTATTCCTATGACAAAACTTAAAAGCAGCAGGAGGAGCCCAAGGAGGCCAAAGTAGTTGGACTTGATGATCTTTGAAGGTCTCTTCCAACAGCACTAACCTAATCTCAAGAGATAAATGGCAAATTTTATCTCAGAAAAATATTTAATGAGACTTTGGCAAGGTGGTGGTGGTGGAAGGAAACACTTCTACAGCACCAATCTTGTTTAGATCCTTAATTTTTTACTAAGAGCACGTTCCAGGTAAAGATGATAACAGAGGAGCATCTTGGGAGACTCACAGTTTAATACCACACTGGCAACAGCAGTGATATGAACGTGGCAATAATATCCCTGTCCTTAATCTCAGAATGGTTGAGGTTGGAGAGGATCTCTGGAGATCATCTACTCCCCAGCTCCCTGCTGAAGCAGGGTCTTCTACAGCATAACAGAAGTACAGAGTGAATTACAGGTTGGAAGGAGGTGATTCTCCCATGACCTTCAACCAGCAGTTTTTATAAATGCATGTTGTGCACCAAATGAGTAAATGACAGTGATCCCATAGTATTTCAAGTGGATTAATGGGAACAAGTGATATATTGGAATCCTGTAGAGAGAATAAACAACATACTTTGCCAGAATCCTGAATCATTTTGACATTTTCAGATCCAAATTTGTCAGAGTAGAGTTTCTGGAGTCTTTGAGAAATCTCTGAAAGAGGCGTGAGTTTAGGCTCCTTATAAATATACTCCTTTCCATCTTCATCCTCAAAGAATCCCTGCAAAGAAACAATTAAGTAAACAAAATATTGGAAAAAAATAAAAAGCCACACTGAACAATGGTTAAGATGAACATGTTTGTGGTTCAAAGGAAACCAACATCAAACATCAGGTTTCAGGCAAATATAAATCAACAAATAAAATCTAAGTTAAATAAAAGGCTTCCTAAGAAAACTAAAACAAACAAACAAACAGAACAGAAAAAAGAGAAAAATAATCATCTACTACAGAACGAATGAAAGATAATGGAAACACAAAGTTAAAACTGTAAGGTTTGTTGCAATGCTATGGTGTGCCAAGCCCTTGATACAGAAGTATTTTCTTCACTTTTACTTTAAAAGTGAACTGTCAGTACTGTTTCACTTGCCACAACAGAGGTTTTGTTGCCTTGTACAACTATCTGATCCAAAACAGGGATTTTGACAACAGTTTGAAATTTGATTTAGGAAAACATCTTAATTCTGTGCTGTACCATTCTGGCCTACGCTTCTTTATTTTCATTACTTAGAGCTCTTTTTTGAAACCATAGCCAAATGTTACACAGTGTGGAAAGTGAAACAGGTGACTGATTTGAAACAAAAAGCCATGTCTGAATTCATGTTTGAAATCAGAAAGTAAATATATTTCTGTCATAAATTGTAACAGACGAAAGAGAAAAGCGCAACATATCATATGTAAACACAGGGCAGATTGACAAAAATACCCACACCAAACTACAGTGAAATGCAGTAGTTGTTACTGCATTGCTCGCTTTATGAGCAGTTACTATAATTACCTCAACATCTGTTTCACTGTCTGTAAACTGGTACTGCTATGAAGTTATAAAAGACAACAGAATACATGTAAAGTTACAGCACTCAGAGTATGTCACAAGTCTCCATGCTCTGCTAACAGCTACCGACTGGGCTGTGCATGTGGAAGGTGCATTAGTGGGTACTGCGTGCTACCATACTGATACATATGCAGTGTCAACACGTACTGCAGGATGTGAAGCTGCTCAGTACACAGCCGGAACTTTTCTTTGAAGCATGCATCCCGATGTATGGGCAGGAACGACTCGTTCTCCACATGGAACTTAACGTTATTATTTGTCTTAATTGCAGTGGCTCTGAATGCACACCAATCTAAGAAGCAGCCTTGCCAACCACACTGCAGCACCACAGACATTAAGTCAATGCATTGCTGAGAACTGACATTACAGAAAACTTACCGCTGCCTTACGGTAGTAAATAAAAGAAGAGAGGAAAAAGAGCAAAAAATTTACTGAGGAAAATAAGAAAGAACTGTTTTGGAACTGGTAAATATTTCAAAGCAAGTTACTGACATGTTTAACTACTTATTTTAGGACATATTTCTTGTGCTTTTTATATGACACGTGGTATCAGCAAAAATGACGAAACTGTGCATCTTGTCAAATAAATGAAGGCTTTTCTCACTGCATACTGCAGTAACGATAAGTGATACTCACCTGTCCAAAGAATGCTACCCTGAAGTAAGTTCCTAGCAGTCTCTTGCCTGTATGCATAACTTCTGTTACTTTACTGTATGCACGATGAAGAGTGTCATACAAATGAGCAAGCCGCTAAAATTCAAAGAAGAGAATAATGGGGTAACAGGATAACATCCAACACTCCTATCTGCAACAGGTGTGAATGACAGTCCTGACAAATTTATTTGTCAGATTTTTAAATGTATGGATTCCGTTCAGTAAGATTAAAAGGCACTCGTCTTGCTTTGGGCTGTCCCACAGTTTTCATTACATAGCTATAACACAAAGGTGACAGGGAAATTATCTGGCATTTGAGAATCTAGGTTAGTTTTCCTATTTGGGAAGGGCTGCACGGTCACAGAATAGCCTCCTTTGCATAAGGCATGCTGTGAAGCATTAACTTTCATTTACCAGTCTGAAGTTGGAATCATTTTTCACATGGACAGACAATGTTAGCAAGGCACCAGAACAAAAAAAAAAAAGTAAAAAGGAAAGAAAAAAACAAAAGAAAAAAAGGTATATAGTGACTTAATATTTCAGGTAGAACAGTATTTTGGCAAATTTTATTTTGGGAAAAAAACTGCAAATCTGAATTGCCTGTGCTCAGTCGAGTTAGAGAGCTCTCACAGTTCCTTGTAGCATCAGTATAGTTTTCAGAATAGTTCTGCTTTATTGTGTTCAACATAGACGTTATATACCATTCACTTACAAGCCAGGAATTCCTGTCCCTCTAATCAGTTAATTAAGCAGTGATAAAGGATGAAAGGTTTCATAAGTGTGATAAGGTTAACAGTGCATACAAACAGAACCTCCTGTTTACCCTTAGACACAAACAGATACCATTTGCTCTCTGTCTTACACTCCTGACTCCCAAGGTTTCACACTGATAGGGTCTATCTAGGAGTCTGATAAACACTTTGCTGACTTGCTCACAGTTACATCTTCCCCTACATCTCCCCCTTCTTTATTAATAAAAAAGGCATGGTGGATAGCATCCTGTATCAATTTCTGTATACACTGCAACAAGCATGGAACACAAAGCACAGAAAAAAAGAAAAGAGACAAACTAATCCTAATTTTAAGCCCCTAGAGACCCCTGAATATATTCCAAAGAGTTCATCTTGGACCTGTTCCTTCATTCAGAGAAAAGTGGGTCTGTGCACAGGATTGCTTCTTTCAGCATAGCACTTCTTCCAGCGTGAACTTCCTTTCAGCTTCTATGCAGCATGAGCTTCCTTTCAGCACCCTCGGTCCAGTTGGGTCCTTGTATGGACTCAGATATGAACAATCCAAATCGCTTATTACAGGTTCTCACAAAACTGATACACATTTACAAGTTTCCTTTTTTAGCATTCTGTCCTCCTTTACAACTTTTAACCGTTGTTTTTTTTTTAATTAACAAACTGTTACCACGCTATAAAATAATAGCACTAATTATATTAATAACATAATCATCATAACTCAATCAAAGCCTTGATTGATAACACTCTAAACATAAAAGTTAAGTAGGAGGTTATGATTTTTTGAGTCAGTGTGGATGCACTCATACAGGCATTTCTTTTAGACAATTCCATAAGTGGGAAATGGAAACTTTCTAAGCTAATTTGTTATTACTTATTGACTCCAGAGAGATGGCAAACTGCCGAAATGGCAGAGGAGGTACAAGGTGCATTGTGGTGGTGGATGTGAAAGGCAGTGACAGCAGGGCGTCCCCTGCTTCAAAGATCACTTTTCCTTTCTCACCCATCGCAGACTCTCCTGCTTTTATTCTTCTCAAGGTCTGCGAGGTTTTTTCCACTTGTGCTTCGCAGCGCATGATACAGAGCCCAGGTGGAACACCAGCTCATAAAACAGAACCACTGAATTAGATCTCTCTACAAAACAAAGTACAGAAAGCTATTTACAGCTACAGTTGCTTACTCCCATTGTTTCTTGCTTTACCATTAGCTCCACTTTTTATTTAATTCATAAGCTTTTTCTTGTTGACCAGTAGCTCGTACTACTGCTACAGAAATCATCTATGGGTAGTAATCTGGATGCAGCACAGAGGGGGAGGCACCCACATCTACCAGAAAACAAACGTTTTTACCCTGCTGTGTGCACACTGCATTCAGTCCACTGGGGGCAAAACTCATCCTGGGTCCTTCAAGGTCCTGCTCTAGTGCAACTGCTACTGTTCTTCCCAATGTCTTTCTGTCATTACAATCCCTGTTTCCCTCATTTAATTTGTCCAAGTCCCGTGCTTCAATTCCTTTAGCATGTATGTTATGAGGAGAAAATAAAGACATTTTTGCTTGGACTAGCAAAAGACCTTCAGAGGTATAAACAAAAAAACAGCAAATCTGAATTAAACTTTTTTGAGCTTTATTCTTCACAGAACGTGGCACTGGAGAACAGTCTGTCAGCCATAGCTCAGAACTGTTTACAGCATAGCATGGCATGGAAAGGATAATAGCTTCCAGGCTTTTGCTGTGCAATTTGTGACATCCACAAGATTGTAATTCTACAAGGAGAATCTGACTGGTGGCTCACTTAGAATAGCTTACATGTAATTTCCATGTGATAGGAGACAGGTAAGTCACCCAAAGAACCCAAAGCAAGTATATAAAGATTATCACTTGTTACTGGGTTTTGTTAGACTTGCAGTATTTGGAACTGATTGTCATGGTTTTGTGATTTTTGGTTTTCGGTATTCCACATCTTAACATCATGTGGGACACTGGGAGTTTAACTGTTAATGCTCAAGTTCTGGGTACCTGCCCAGAAGAGAAGAAGAACTACATCCCCCAGGGGACTCTGTGGTTACAGAGAGGAGATACAGATCCTGGCAAGGTCACCTGATGGGCTCTTTCTCATCCTCTCTTCTTCGTCGGCTCTCCTCCCGTCTCCCTGCTGCTCAACTGGACTGCGCATCTCACCTCTGCGTTGTGGTGAGGCCTATCTGTCTTCCGGACATTCTCTCTCTCATTATATTTGATTTATTAGCTTCAATTCTGATTATATTGTATTATGGTGTGTTGTCTTGCATTCCGATGCCATACTTAGTAAATTACTTTGTTCCTCCTCAGATTGTTGCCACTGTTTTTAATTATTTTGGGGTCCCCTGTTCCATTTTTCTGGAGGTGCGCATTTTGAGAAATCCCTCCACCACGCTGGTCATGGAACTGGGCCGAACCCAGATTGTTGCCACAAATTGTTGCCACACCTGAAGGCTCTCAGCAATATTATGGCCACAAAGACCCAGCAGGTGAGCTGGGTGTTGGGATATTGTTCGGGAGGAGGGCCTGGGGTAGAGGTTTGATCAGTGCAGAGAGCTTGAAGAGCTGGGAGCAGTATGAGCTTGGGTGAAAGGGAGGGCATTGGCAGTGTCGTGTCATGGGTGAGGCCAGTGCAGAAGCAGGTGCAGTTTTTTGCTGTGTAGTCTTCATCGTTGCTTTCTTGGGCAGCAGATGTGGCCAAACCACTTGTGATTTTGTGAATGGTCATCTTCAGAGAGATGCAGATCCCAGAGCTTTTCTGCAATGGGACAGCTCGTAGAAACTTGACGATATTATTTTTATCACAGAGATGTAGAAAACATTGAACTGACATCCCTCTGCAGTGCTACAGCCAGAGCGTCCTTAAGGAAACCTGCTTAGCACAGAGCTCAGTGACACAGCCTTGCCTTGAGCCAGGAGCAAAGCTGAGCAGGGCCCTTTTGCAGCACTTGCTCTCTATCTGCTGTAGCCAGTCCTCACGCGACCTGTGTCTGCTGTGAGCGGCAGATAAAACTCTGATGAGATTAAGGTGAAATCTCAGCTGCTTGCCCATGTGAAACTGCATCTGTCCTCCACCTCTGAGACTCAGCTGATGACAGTGCATGTCCCAGACCATTTCTTTCTGGTATAGCCCAGATAGACCTTTTTTACTTCATACTGAACATTCACTCCTTACAGTTGCGAAAGTAACTTGATTTGATTTTGATGAACGCTTTTTAAAATCAGGAGTCGCAGAGCTATGTTGTGCATCCTTGGTATTAAAAATTGGAAATGTCTTTACTTAGAGAGGAGTCCTATATCCTGGAGGTCTTATCCAGCAAAAGTATTTCAAGTAAAGGTTAATTCAATTGGCACAGCTGCTTCGGGCCCTTGCTGTACCTCAGCAGGGTGATAGGATCAATGCTGTGAGCACCAAACTGAAGTAACGACGCTGAGCACATCTTGTGCTGCAATCTGTTCCCACACGTGGGCGGGCAGGGCTGTCACTGCTGCAGCACCCAAGTCACAGCCATCAGTGGCCTGGATGAGCATGAAAATGAGGGCTACGTTTGGTCCAGGTTGGGCTTTTGGCCACAAGGCTACGCTCTGGGACTACTCATTCTCTTTAGTACTAATAGGAATAAAATACACAAGCATTTCCTTCATTTGTTTAATGTTTTTCATGAACTCCAGACCCCTTGCACCCCTTCCTTCATCTTATGGCCGGGACATTGGATTCCAGCCCAGGGGATATTGTGTCTGGGAGCACATTTCCCCTGCTGGCACCAACTCGTCGTTTCCAGCCACCAGATGGCAGAAGACTACACACAAGTGGCTGGAAAAGTGCAGCGGCACTGAGCCTGGTGCGGCCAAGGCCCTTCTTCTTCTTTGCTCCCTAATGATCTTCCACTAGTTCTCCCAACTCTAGGTTATCCTACAACAAACAAACAAACAAACAAGCAAAAACCACCTGGTGAATATATCACCATTGCTTTTCATAGAATCCAAGAATCACCAAGGTGGGAAAAGACATCCAACGCCATCCAGTCCAACCGTCCACCTACCACCAGTATTTGCCCTCTAAACCATGTCCCAGAGTACAGCATCTCAATGTTTCTTGAACAGTTCCGGGGACTCTGGCTTAACCACCTCCCTGGACAGTCCGTTCCAGCACTTGACCACCCTTTTCGAGAAGAAATCTTTCCTGTTATCCAACCTGAACCTCCCTGGTGCAACTTGAAGCCATTCCCTCTAGTCCTATCACTAGTTACGCAGGAGTAGAGGCTGATTCCCATCTCACCACAACCCCCTTTCAGGTCACTGCAGAGAGTGATAGGGTCTCCCCTGAGCCCCCTCTTCTCCAGACTGAACAAGCCCAGCTCCTTCAGCCACTCCTCATAAGGC